GAATCGAGGCTGCTTATGAGTATACAATATATTTCACATCTACTGTAAAATTTTATAAGCCAATTAGGACATCTCCTATTTGATCCTGCTTAAACGGAAAATAGACATCTTGTAGTTTGGTAACCCTGCCAGCACCAGCCCAACCCAGCCAAGTCCAGCCCAGGTGGACTAGGTTGGGCTGTATGGTTGGGCCACTGTGTGGCAAGGTCGGATGTGGCCCAATTGGTCCAATCTCCCGAAAAGACGCGCAGGGGGGCTCGCCTTTTAAGGTTTTCCTACGTCCCGTAATTAGCACAGACAGTAATACATTACGTACAACAGTATGGGTAGAGTTAGGACGAAGTTAAGATGGACGACAACCGATAACCGGCGTGGACTCAGACATGCCATCATGACGGGACGTTTAGACGAGAAGGGCTACTTTTTATACCAATTTTTATGTAGTTTGGTCTTAATATCGTTTATTTTAGCGGTTAAATGCATAATTCGAAACAAGGAATTGTTTCTACATCAGTCCGGAATGAAGTTGGGCCAGGGCTACGCCTAGCCCAACCGGTAAGATTGAGCCCAGTGGTGAGATTGGGCCACGTGTTGGCAGGGAGTGTAACGGCAAGAAGAGTTCAAAATTACTCGGAAATTAAAGAAGATTTAAACCCAAAAAATACTTCTTTCTTATGTATAACATGTAAAGAAAACGTAGTTCCATACCAAAGGAATACAAGAAAGAGTATTTTCGGGCATTTTCCTATGAAACATATTGGGTTATGTCACAAGCTAACGCGCTTCTCGGTGGTTCAAAGTTTTATCATCTTATAGATCATTTTGTTCCTCCAGCTAAGCACTTGAAAAATTTGTGTATAATTTTTAATCCAAATTAATTTTTGATCATTTACAGGCCAAAGAAAATGCAGTGTCAGGTCGACAAAAATAAACTTTTCGACATCTCCTTTTATATGAGTTAAGTAGAAGAGTTAAAGTATTGAATGCCGTCAGAAACATTTGCGCTGTTTACCGGGGAGGTTCTGTTGCTCAAAGGAGCTCATAAGTGGTCTGATCGTTCCAAGGACGGCGATTTCGGCACGACTGACACTCCGTGCTCCGGACGGAAGTCAGTCTTGTACTAGGATCGCCTCAAGGCACCATTATATGCAGATCTCCGTCAAACAATTCGAAAATTTGCCAGAGAGATGGGGTGCAAAAATCAACGACATCCTGGCATCCGCAATCGATGGGAAAAGTCAAAAAGCTCGATTTTTAGGTTCCATACGGTTTGAATGAGGACATCAAGATTTAATGTGCAAATGTTTGTTATTGGCCCGACACCACCTCAGCCGTCGACGCAGCCATATTTGAAACTGTCTAAGCTGCAACAAGCAAGTAACACCTTGAAACAAACCTGACGTTCATCTTAGCAAGAGGATGCTGTGTATCTGGTAGGATATGGAGAGAATTTTCTAACAAAAATTACTTGAAAGTAACCAGACCATTAATGTTGAACTTTACAGTCAACATCTTTGCCATCTACGTAAAGCAGTTCAACAAAAACGCCCAAATCGTCGAAATGGTGTTAGTTCACAACATGACAACGCCAGGCTTCATGATGCAAAATTTATAATAAATGTCATTGATGAGCTCGACTAGGTGTTCTTTCGCATTCGCCGTATTCTCTGCCCCTTTCTCCATCGGATTACCGTCTTCTTCGGTCACTTGAAACCAGTTTGACCGGAGTATCCCCCACTAACGGCGTGGACCTTCAACATTGGACCGATGACTCCTTCAAGCGCGGAATTGAGAAACTTCCTAGAAATTTGGAGGAGGTTGTGAACAACGAAGGGGAACATATAACTGATTAATTCCATAACTGTTAAAAAGATTTCGAATGACTGAAAAGCACGAGTACTCATAAGATAACCTAATACTCGAATGCATAAGGGCATCGAAAATCAACGGGAAATATTAATACTGCATAAGTAGCCATTTTCTACAGTTTTGCAGGCTACCGGAAGGAAATTAATTTAAAAGCCGGCAGTTTGACGTGACTGAAATATCATATGATTATGTTGCACAATAATTAATACTAGAACTCTACTTAAGTAATCTTCTCGATTCGAAAGCACATTTCAGAATTTCAGTCGATATTATATGAGGCAGCATATGTACAGTATCGCCTCCCACCTCCTCCGTCTCTTGGCGTTCTCTTTCTTCTCTGCTTCCAGGCATACTTTCCTCTGGAATACCCTGCCAATCGATACATAACCGTCAAAAGTCTGATTACTCTTTAGAGAAGACTGTGCCTTTGTTTCGACACTGATACGACTAAACTCTTATTTCCTCACTCCTTCCGAGAAGCTTTTTCTCGCACTTATACAAAGGGCCGCGAGTTACTTTACTCGCTCACACTTCTCTCCCTGCGTGTGATTTCGCCTGCCACGATTTCTTTCTTTAGAAGTTTCGATTATTCTAGTCAATGCAATGTGTCCTTTACAAAACACGATGTTTTCCCTAACCCACTCCCCAGGAAAATAAGCGGGGTCATATCGACGCCTGCGCTCTGAACCACTTCCGTTTCGCTCATCGCTAGCCCTCATCAGGATTCCATTCTGACCACCGAGGTGTCGGGGTCTCACCCCCCACTTTCGATTCCACCCTGGGCCTGCCGCAATCTAGCACCTGCAGGCGTACTTTAATAACGCCTCGTTCTCACTTGTTGATCCGCCCTGGCGGGTTCCTCTTACCCTCAGAAAAAACCTGTGGCAGCCATTTGCCATATTTTTTATTTACACAAGACTTTTTATAGCTATTCCACTTGTTAATCATTTCAAAAACCCACATTTATTCACATTTGTCTAAGTTAGTGTTTATGGAACGGTTACGCGGGCACTCGAACTGGCGTAAGTGTCGATTTCATTACCTGATTTTTCACCCTCTACCCTTGTTCTTCACTAGGCGGCGTCCACAGTTGACCCCGTTCTACTGTGGCAGTTTTGTTTGGATTTTCCCGACCTAGTCTAAGCGTGAGATCGTATTATCGATCGTCTGAGCCCGCTAAAGTGGTGACTCCTTGTAGGGGTCAAGTAGGGTAACGCGGATCTGTGCCTGTAGGCGTCGGATGCCGGGGTAGCGGATTTTGGTTTCACCGGCCAAGATGCTAAAGATATTTCATCCGAAAGCTGCGTTATCTCCCCATAAACAATAACTTGGACCGAGGGCGGCGTAGATATGATAGTAGATAAACGGATCGATAGAAAATGATTTATTACCGGAACGTAAATAAAATAGAGGGGTAAGCAAAAATCGTAGGTCTAAGCTCTGGTAGTAGTGACGGAATGGACAAACACTAACAAATCGGTAGAGCACTCGAAAGTCGATAAAATGGTACAGATAACGTTTTTCTAAGTGGACTAAACGTAGAGACGCGAAAAGGGGAAAAGAAAAACAAAAATAGTCAGATTGGGAAAGGATAAATAAGAATATGGCAGAAACCGTCAGTCCGAGCCCACATGATTGCGGATTCTGAAAAAGGGGGAGGGAACAAAAAGTATCCTTCAAAACAATCGTCTGTTACACCCTGAACGAGGACGCGCACTGCCTTTTCATGCGTTCTCGCTCGCCTGCAATAGCCAGCCAATCATTGCGCAGTGCCGTGTTGGTTCCTTCCTCGCGGGTACTTTCACTCAAATCTTACCATACCCACAGTCGTGACGGACGCTCTTCCAGTGGAGACGATTCTATTAGTGCAGTAGCACTGTTTTATCAGAACGAACGCACCTGCGCTCCATTACCTTCGCGCTGGGCAAAGTTTTTAATCTGAAAACATTACCAAGGAAGTTACCAAATTCCATAGTTCCGTGCAGGCTTTGCCCTTACAGGTTCTTTCCCAAATACAGTCACTGATCCACAGTCCCCCGACCGACCAACCATACACGCAACTTAAGACAACATTCCTTCGACCTCATACTGTGCCTTATCACCAGCGGTATCGCCAGCTGGTTCGCGAGGAGTGTTTGGGTGACCGAAAGCCCACCGAACTCCTTAGAAGGATGCAAAGACTTCGTGGTGAACTCCACAGTGGTGATACGCTTTTCAAGGAAATGTTCCTGGAATGCCTGCCTGCCGATGTTCAATCCATTCTGGCATCTGACTCAGACTCTTTATCTCACTTCTGGCCGAGATGATGAGCAGGATTTTGGAGGTGCAGAAGTTTCAACCGCCCTCTGTCACCCAGCTCTCCATTTCCTAATTACTGACGACGAGTAAACAGATTGCGACGCAGATTGCGGCCATAGATGAAGAGATGGCGTCCCTCGAATTCTAGTTTGCACACCTTACCTCTAGTCGCTCACCCAGCCGTTGTCTTTCTCGCTCTCGACCTCGAACCGCTGATATTTGACGGTATCACGCTAATTTCGGCGTAAAGACCCGTCGGTATTCTTCCCCATGTTCTTTCAAGTCCAAGCAGGGAGACCAATCGGCCAGAGGATAGAGTCGACCGTTTTCTATGACTCTTCTGACTCTAGTTGCACCTCCTACTTTAGCGACAGCGTGACTCGCAGACATTTCCCAGTGGACATCGCAGCCCAAATCGCATTGTCCCTTTCACCCCAGCTAATCGTTGTTTACCCAGCCCTGGTCATCGTCTCGAAGTTGACAACCGCTTCCCCATTCCCACTTTTGGCAGCCTGTCTCTTACCCTGGACATTGGCTTCGTCGGTCTTCCTCCTGGACATTTGTGATTGCTGATGTCCCTTATGGGATCCTTGGCTCGGACTTTCCTGGCGATCTCTATCTCCTTGCTGACTACCGACGTTCCCGTCTCCTTGACTGCGCAACTGGTCTGTCTGTTCGTAGATTAACTCCTTTTACTACTCCCAGCAACTTACCTGTTCTGGGACTATCGTGCTGTCAACAATGCCACCATTCCCGATTGGCACCCTGCGCCTCATTTTCACGATTTCGCCGGAGCCCTTTATGGCAAAACGGTTTTCTTAAAGACTGACTCGATGCGGATCTTCCATCAGACTCCTGTTACCCCTGACAATATTATCAAAACCGCCGTCACAACAACTTACGGCCTCTTTGAATTCATTCGTATGCCCCTCGGACTTCATAATACCGCCCAAATGTTCCAGGGCTTCACTGACCATGTCTCACGTGGCCTACCGTTTGTGTACGCCTACATCGATGACCTCTTGATGGCCGGCCAGGATGCCGAAGAGTACAAAGAGTACCTTGCTTTGATGCTTATCACCAACCCCTCCAAGTACGTTCTGGGCGTGTCTTCGCTCTAATTTGTTGGCCATCAAGTCGACCCTGAGAGTTTGCGTCCTCTGTCCTCCAAGGTCGGCGCAATTCGTGATTTCCCTCCACAAACCTCCAAACGTCAGTTGCAGCGGTCCTTACTGAACTGCTCTGACCTCATGCTGCCTCTCACCAACATGCTTTCTGGTCCCAAGGGTCCCCTCGAGCTTACTGATGCAGCACTGACTACTTTTGAGAGAATCAGCAATTCCCTTGCCGACGCCACCTTGATCACGCATCCCGCTCTCAAAGCTCAGCTGTCCCTGATGATAGACGCTTCGGCCGTAGCCGTAGGCGCAGTCCCTCAAAGACACTTCGTTGGTTCGACTCGACCACTGATTTTCTCCAAAAATCTCTTGCCGGCTGAGTCCCGCTACGGCACTTTTGGACGTGAACTCCTTGCTATTTTCCTGGCTGTGAGGCATTTCCGACATTTCTCTGAAGGTCGGGAGTTCACCATTTTCACACACCACTAGCCGCTGACGTCTGCCCCTCGTTCCCACTCCGACAAGATCAACTGGACTATATCTCCAAGTTCACCAGCGACATCCGCCACATCGATGACACGAAGAACGAGGTGGCTGAGATGTTCAGTTCAGTTCAGTTCAGTTTATTGAGTTTGAGTACCCTATTTGCAACGTAAAAATGTGTGGTGTACAGATAGATGTTCTGGGCTGAAATAGTTCGAACACGCCCATAATGGTGGGACAAAATGAGAAGGAGTTATAGGGGGTGAGCTCGACTTCTCATCACTCTTGGTCACTTCGGAACATAAATATGTCCAGATTCTTCTTAAAACTTTGTATAGATGGTGACATCACAACATCTGCGGGAAGCTCATTCCATGGTTTGACCACCCGAACCGAGAAGGAGAACTTCCGCACATCCAGCCGTGCCTGCTGAGTGCGCAGTTTTAACGAGTGACCTCGGGGGTTGGCCGTGGTAGCAAATTCAAAAAAGTCCTCGAAGACCAGACTGCAATCCAAACCCTTTACAATGCGGACGGCTTGCAAGAGATCTCCGCGAAGTTGCCTGTACCTCAAAGGAAAGAGGTTCAGATTTACTAGGCGGGTTGCATAAGGAAAGGAGCTTTGACCCCTAACAATCTTCGTGGCTCTCCTCTGGACTCTTTCGAGGCAGTTTTGATCCTCAACAGCCCACGGCCTCCAAGCTTGTATGCCATACTCTAAATGCGGCCGGGCGAATGTCCCGAATGTCTTAGAGAAAGCTTCTTCGTCAAAGTCCATAAACGCACGCTTGATGGCGTACAGTACGGACATTGCGCTTTTTGCCACCCTCGAACAGTGGGCGGATGGTTTTAGGGAACTCGTCGTAAGCACACCGAGGTCCCTTTGGGCTACGACCTCTTGTAGGGCTGCACCGCCCAGAAAGTAGCCTCTTGTGCTGGCGGATCTGGCTGTGTTGCCTAGACGAAGTATGCTGCATTTGGCAACGTTGAACCGCAGGAGCCAACGGTTTGCCCACTCCTCCAACCGATTCAGGTTCATCTGCAGTCTGTCTTCATCGGCAGGACCCCGAATTACACTCCATATCTTCATGTCATCCGCAAACATTGCTACTTCACAGTCTAAATCTCTTGCGGCATCGTCCACGTCGATAAGGAACAAAATGGGTCCCAGTACTGAACCCTGGGGGACACCACTATCGACCATAGCCGGATCTGATTTTCCCCGACCGACGCACACAACCTGGTGTCGACCCACAAGGAAGTTTTCGATCCATTTAAGGAAGTTGCCACCGATCCCTATTTTTTCAGCTTATGTAAGAGCCTTTGGTATGGCACAGTGTCGAAAGCCTTCTGGAAGTCGATGAAGGCTATGTGGACCGCGTGCCTGTCGTCGAGAGCTCGGGTCCAGCTCTGGAGAGATTGCAGCAGGTTTGTCGTGCAGGATCTTCCTTTTCGGAACCCATGTTGGCATTTCGATAGCAGGCCGTGAACTTCCAGGAATTGCATCAGTTCAGTCTTTATGATCCTTTCCATAACTTTGCAGAGAATGCATGTCAAGCTTATGGGCCGGTAATTTGTCGTCGCTGCCCTGTTACCTCCTTTGTGTAGCGGAGTAATATGCGCCAGCTTCCAATCGACAGGAAGTGTTCCAGTGTCAAATGACGTTTGAAAGATCATCGACAAAGGCACAGAGAGCTCACTGGCAAGTTCCTTCAGAAGCTTGGGTGGAATCTCGTCTGGTCCTGGCGACTTCGATTCGTTCAATGCCTCTAATTCTCTTCGGACAATGCCTTCTGAGAAGAGTATATCACTGACGCTTGGAGTCGGCAGTTCTTCTGTGGAGGGAGGAAGGAACCTTGCCTCGTTTGTGTAGACTGATTGAAAAAACCGTGAAAAATACGCAGCTTTATCCCTACTATCAGCGATCTCAACGCCATCAGTAGTCCTTATTAAGGGAATTTGATGCCTGTTCCTTGTACTTCGTCGGAGGTAACTGTACAGTAATTTTAGGTTCTGCGTTGCTTTTTGTAGCAAGTTCTTCTCGAATTGCCGCCGCGTCTGCATTATCAGCTTCCTCAGTTTGTTCCTCTGTGTCTTGTAGGTGTTGAAGCATTCAGCTTGTCTAGTGACGCAGTATTTTCTCCACAATTTGTGCTTCCTGTTGATTTCTTTCTTGAGGTTGCTATTTAGCCACCCAGGGCGTTTGTTCAGTCTTACACTAGTCAGTGGGCAGTGGTTGTTGATGAGCTGCAGAAGGACATTCTTGAACAGCTCCCAGTCATCGTTGGCACTTCCCGTAAACAATGAGCCCCAGTCAAGACCGGATAAGTCTGCCCTCATCTGATTGAAGTCGCCCCGCCAAACATTACGTCTTTTGTGGTCTGGAGTATGTGAAATGGATAATAACGAATAATCCCACATAAGCACTACGTGGTCACTTCGGCCAAGGGGCGGCATGGAGGCGATCTCGTCTATGCTGTCTGGTGTTTTCGGAAAGACCAGATCCAGGCAGTTTGCCCTTTGTCCTTCACGTGTTCTCGTTGGGAACATTACATGTTGTGTGAGGCACGCATTTAATGTTTTGCTCAACAGGCGGTAATCGAATGCCGATTTTGGACCTGACGCTTGGAGGGTATTCCAGTTTGTTCCTGGTGCGTTGAGGTCGCCCATGATCATGATGTTAGGTCGACTGGAGAATTTCTCCAACTGCTCCAATAGTTGAGTGTCGGCGATTCGGTCTGTCCTAGGTGGTCGGTAGACAGTGAGGACATTGAGACACGGGGAACCGGTAGCCTTGATGGTCAACCAGATAGCTTCCGTACTGCACGCAAACTTGGTGGTGTTATCCGAGGCGGGAATACAGTGTCGCAACACTTAGAATTGTCTATTCCCCCACCAGCCTGTCTTACGGGCGGACTACTACTACTACTACTACTTCTACTACTACAACCACTAATACTACTACTACTACTACTACTACTACTACTACTACTACTACTACTACCACCACCACCACTACTACTGCTACTACTACTACCACTACTACCGCTGTTACTGCTAATACTATTACCACTGGCGGGAATACAGTGTCGCAACACTGAAGAAAACTTTTTCCCCCGCCTACCACCACTGTTACGGCGAATACTACTAATAATCCTACTATTAGTACTACTACTACTACCACCGCCACCACGGCTGCCAATGCTACTCTACCAACGCTTACAGTATGGGTAACTAACTGCAATAATACTAGAATCAGTAACGGAGTGTTGCGACACTGGTATCCAACCTTATCCGACACTGCCAGACCGTCATTCACATACACAACGATACCACCACCCTGACGATGTTCCCTGTCCCTCCGATAAATTTGGTATCCAGGCAAGGCTACTTCGTTATCGCTAATATTCCCGGACAGCCAGGTCTCAGCTACTGCTAAAACATCTGGAGACAGTTCAACAAGGCAAAGTTTTAGTTCGTCTAGTTTCGATATGAGGCTTTGTGCATTCGTGTACAAGCACCTCAGTTTATCACCAGCCGAATTTCCCGTTGCATTTGTTACTGCTGTGAGCATTACTCCGTTATCGCGGACGTCGTGTTCTCTATGCTCTTCCGTTACCTGATTGGTTCCATTTACATGCCTTGTTTCAGTCAGATCACTGGACGCTACGGGCTCACTTGTGTTGGCGCCTTGATCAGGTGGTTCAACGAAGGTGTCTGTTTCAGCGGAGTAGCTGTCGTCGTTCGTAGTATTACAGGCTGGTTCCACTGAAACGGCATATATTTCCGAACTACCTTCCCCTTGAAGATAGCCAGATTGTGTTCGCCATCCTTCAGTCTTGATTTTAACTCCAAGACAAGTTCCCGGCGTTTCAACCGTTCCGCTGGTGAATAGTCCGGTTGAAAAAAACCCTGTTTGTGTGTGTTTCTGAGATCGGTTTTTTTAGAGAGGATAAACTTGATTTGCTCTTTGTTCTCCAGCATAATTTTGAGAGGGCGAGGTGGTTGTGCTACTGTCCTGTCTTCACTCCTTTTTCCTATCCGGAATGCTTTCAGAACCTTTATTTCCATGTCTGCCGGCAGTAAATGATTTAGCATACCATGAAAAGAAGCAAGGTCCTCTGAGACACGGTCTTCAGGTCTGACTGCATTCGATTCTGACAGACCCTGAATAACCAGACACTGCTGGCGAGCATGGTCCTCCTTACTCTGTCTTTCCGGTGAATGCGCTGCATGTGGGCGAGAACGATTTACAGAGTCATCGCTTGGACGCACACTTTTACTGTCTACCGACTGTCCCGAGCAACCCATCAGGGTTGGCTGTGACTTCAGAATCCTGTCACGGCGTTTCCCTCTCCCCTCTACCCACGGGTTTATGTCTTCGCATTCAGATAGGTGCTCTGTAGTGCGCTCGGGGTGGTTGCCAGAACAAGAGGGCAACAGTAGACTGGATGACCCAGGTATATCGTCTCCAGGCAGAACAGAAATCCCATCACTTACAGCAAGAGGCTTAGGTGAGAT